ACATATAAGTAGATCTAGACAGATTTTTTGTGAGGGATCATTGTTCCTGGACTACTCAGTAATGAAAAATGGAGGTATATCTAGATGTTAATAATAGCATGTTACTATACTAGATGGTTTTGACTGGGATTGATTGATTTGGTTGTTCTCTAGGATTCATGTACTTAATTGTCACCTCCTATACAATATCAAGTACTTCAATGGACTAGGTAATCAATAGGCTCATATTATCTTTAGTAAAAAACTGGCAAAAGTATTTGCACGAAGAGTGCAAGCAATCTCACAGGAAGCTCATTTCTTTTGAATAAAGATCAAAGCTTGCCTTTTGAGCATCTCTCTCAGCTCAATTGCGTTTGCAAGATCATGTTTGTTCCTTTACAACGAATTTCATAGGACAGTTATTATCTTCAAAAGATAATGGCTATAGCTTCTATTTGAATATTTTCACGGCTCAAGATGACGTGAGGATTTTAGTATACAGGAATTACAATGGCGTGACTTATAATACTAATGATATCATCTTCCATGATTCCATCCCAAAACAGTAGGACCTATGAGAATAACTGTGTATGATAAAGTCCAAATGGGTGTTATTGAACGCATCAGATTTTCAAGGTGGTAAGCTTTATGCCACATGGTCTCTATTCAGACACTGTATAACCATATGGCATGGTAAATTTCTTGCAAAATTATGAACTTGTGTATCACCCATGATTTTTTAATTTTTACTTTTCACTCAATATGCTTATGATGATCATGTGCTTGGAGGTTCCTATCTGGAATTTCTAGTTTTTGTGGTTTCTGCACTGAATGCTGTTTTTCCGTTTTGTCCTTCAGCACTGCGGGCACTACTACAACTCCTGTAACAAATACTCCAGGAACGCCATCCACCGGCACTGGCACTGGCACTGGCACCGGCACCGGCACCGGCACCGGCACCGGCACTGGCACTGGCACTAGCACCGGCACCGGCACCGGTACCACAACCCCAACGACCTCCACCACTCCCACAACTGGTACTACAACGCCGACAACCACCACTCCGTACACTGCAACTCCTGGTGTATTAGGAGGGATTGGCACGGGCGTAGGGCCATCAGGAGCTGGCATCAACTCGGACGACAGCGGTGTGATTAGACTTGTTGATGCTAGTTTGTTTTCTTCTATTCTAACCTTATTCGTTTCAGGCTTGATGCTTTGGTGGGGTTGAGAAAGAAAAAAGAAATTAGAGGGTGTGAGGTGGGGTAGGGGTGGAACAGAGATGATGCTGGATTTCAATGTGCAAAAGATGGTGTTGCAAGTATGATGCATGTGAGTCTGCTGTTGATTTGTAGGTGTTCATCTTAGGGCCAGCCTTGCCAAGTTTTTGTCTTTTATCTTCACCCTTCTAAGTTCTCTATGTGGGAAAAAAAAAGCAGATGGGCTTTTGATTCCTTTTGGGTGTTGTTGCTTAGTGGGAGTGACTATGGAAAAGCATCTGTCTTTCTGTCTACAACTTGTCTCTGTTTTTTGTACATTAGATCTAATCTGAGTGTACTGCTAGCTAGCTAGTCTATTAATTTGATGAGTATTTGGCACTTATTTTCCTAGTTGGTATTTGGAGAACCCTGTTTCAGTATGGTTATTTATTTCTTTTTTTGCTTCTTGGCTCACTATTTTAGATTATTTTTTATCTTGTTTGGTGTTGGCTACCTCGTGATCCTGCTAGGGTGTACTGTACATTCTACAAATTTATAATGCCTTAAGTATAAATCCAAAAAATAAAAAATGAAAACTATATAAAGGTTCATACCAGTTAACATGGTAGAACATAATCTTTGGTGAATTTTTTGAAAAGGACATAGGCCTTAATAAGTTGCAGTCTGATCCTTTTATTACTCTGGTCCGCATTGATCATGATGGTGGACCAGGCTTTCATTGTAGCATTAGTTTCTCTCACCAACCTCCTAGTTTTACTCTCAGAACTGGGTTTAATTACAATGTAAAAATCATAAGGAAACCAAAAAGGAAGATCTGCTCTTCACTTTGCTATATTTTCTGCTGAGAATCTATGGCCTGGGTTATAGGAGAAATACTTCTATATCCGCGTTGCATTGCCTCTTATTCTTATTTCTCTCCTCTTTTGCTAAGTGACACGAAGAGAGATAGGAAGAATGGGACAATGCAACCCGATAAAGAAGTTTTTCTTCTTCGTTGAAAAATTATATCCAATTATATATGTACAGAAAGGTTTACTAGAAATACGAGAGATTGCAAGATCAATGGAGACCCTCCACTCCACATGGTTACAAGTTACAAAATTTTTTTAATCCAATTGTAGTATTTCCCACTTCCCATCATTTATTTAACTCAAATTTTTAACCTTTTAAAGTGCTTTGCACGTCCCGACATTTCAGGGATATCTGGAGCATCGGTCGTTGTTGTTGTGCACTCCATATTCTGATTCTGAATTTCAGAATTTGATTCATATATTCAAATTGGTCATTAGAAATTAGAATATTGTGAAATGGGCTTCGGTTTTCTCTTCTTATAGCTAAAAGCACGTTATGATTTTCTTTTGTTTTTACCACTTTTTTTCTTCTTCTTCTTCTGAATGTTTATTTTAGGGTATGCTGTAGTTCAAATGTCGTTGCAATATATACTCTTCTGCATTTATTTAGATTGCACGTTTGGGGTTATGTCGAGGAGTTACAATGAGGGGGTTCAACTCAACATTCCACTAATAACTTTATATTGAACCGAACATTATTAAGTACGCCTCATTATAACCCCTCATATCTATTGCAATTTATGTAACCCAAGAGTGAAATCCAAGATAAATTACTATGCCATGTGAGGACTACCTTTCCATGTCAGGCAACAAAGATTGTTCTTTTCTCTCCCTTATTTTTTAGATAAGATGGTGTTATATCGTCATCATCACCATCATCAGTACCATCATTACCATCATTATCAGTATCACCACATCATCACCATCATGGAGGATGCGAAATGTGATGCCCAACCGCCTTTTTTTGTTGTTTTTTAAAAGGCCCAACTGCCCTCTGGGGGTGAGGTTCAATCTCATAGCGTTGACCCAAACGAAAAAAAAGGGTTCAATCTCTTAGCCCGATTACTTTGAATTGGGGTATATTCTTGGAGCAGTCTAGAGCCCATGACTGGAATTTGGAAGTGTCAGTTTGCTTCTGAAGTTCTGGAAGCTTCTATCATTCCCTATCTAATATGACAAATCAATCCCTTTGGATCTTTTTTTTTTCCTTCTTATTTTTATTTATTCAAATGGTCATCAAACTTATACATTTTGGTCCCTCAACTAAATTTTTCATTCAAACGATCCACCAACTCTATATTAATCAGTGAATTAGTCATACCGTTATATTCTGTCAATGTTGCCGTCAAATATAACGGTAAAATAGTCCAGTTAAATAAAATAAAAAATAAATTTAAAACTTAAAATCAAAAGAAAAAAACCTTTCTCCCTCTTCCACCTCATAGCCCCAAGCTCGATAACCATTGCCCCAGCACCCCATCTTCTCCTCCCCGCACCCCACCCTTTCTTCCCTTCCCTCCCTGTCCCCACCTCCTCTCTCCCTCTATCTCTCTCTTCCCCCTTTCTCTCTTTAAACAAACCTAGACCCCTGTAGGCACATCCGCAGCCCCGTTTCTATTTAGGAAACTAAAGGCGAAGGGAAGAGAGATGAAGAGAGGGACAAAGAGAGAGAGAGGCTGGGAGAGAGAGGTTTGGTGGGCTAGGTTTTTTTGTTTTTTTGAGTTACTTTTTGTTGTTGTTGTTTTATTCGTTTATAATTTTTAATTAATTTACATAATAAAGAGAAGTTTATATTAATTTTAATCGTATATATATATATATATATATATATATATTAGCTATCAAAAGTCTTATTGACCCCCAAAAATGTAGCATTTATTGCTCACATGACTAAATTTAACACAAAATGTAACAATAGGACCAATTCGTCGATTAATAAAGAGTTTGTGGACTATTTGAACAAATAATTTAGTTGAGAAACAAAAATGCAATTCGGGTACAAATTTAAGAACCATTTGAATAAATAACCATTTCTTTCACAATCGATATTTCAAGGAGAATAATTGAATTCGGTGGAATGGATAAACACTCATAATTACTCATGCTTGAGTGATTTTAGGCCAAACTTGTATTAGTTGTATGCTACATACCAAAATTTCAATTGACAATTAATCACCTCTCACTCATAGTTTTTCTTCATGTAGCTACTGCCAGCTAGCTACCTACTTGGACTTGCTTTTGTTTGCAAAGCTTTATCTGTGTAAGCAGCCTTGTATCATTCTTGTTATTATATATATTAAGCGGCTCAATGGACTAATTCATAAGGTTTCTGAACGCAATACCATGTGTCTCTTGTTTTAGTTAACAAGTGAGTAAAGATAATATTCACATTACACATGTATTAAATACAATATCATAATAATTGATTTTGTAAGTACACATCAATCCTCTCCTATACTCAACAACAAATGTGGTTTCTCATGGAAAGAAGGAAAATGACACGTTTGAAGCCTTTACTCCACTGTTGAATTAGGATATATTGGTAAATTCGGATCGTAGCAAATTGAAATTTTTTATCGTATACCATCGGCAAAATAAAGGGATCTCATCAGACCCACGTTGGTTTTTATTTTTTTTATTTTTTTATTGTTTGTGGAAACGTTACGTTACGTGGGTTTGGTTTTATCAATGTACATTATTTTGGATTTTTCCATTAAACATTATTTTGGTTTGATTAGAGATGCATTTCGATGAATCTCATTGGCATAATGGCATTAGCATCTCTAATCAAACGAAATGAAGTCTGGAACTTGGACCCACTATTTGACTATTACATGGCTCAACTTAATCATGCATGTTATTTCCAATTTACCATAATGCCCCGCAGTCCCAGTCCTTATGCGCCTGCACTTTTGAATTGCCCCCAACGAGACCCACCTGAGTATCTGTAACCGGGAACAGCACCAGCCAAGGCAATAAGGAAGAGAGATAGAGAGATGGGGTGGGCAGTAGCACTCCACGGCGGTGCAGGCGACATCCCGCTCTCCCTGCCGCCGAAGCGCCGCCTGCCTCTCGAGGCCGGCCTCCGCCACTGCCTCCACATCGGCGTTGCAGCGCTCAAAGC